AGGGGTAATTGGCGCCATGCCCGCAGGGACCTGGTCCAGAAATCATCCCTAATCAAATCCCCCGTCTTGCAGCAGCCCGGCCTGTCCTCTTGGGACCTGGATCGGCATGGTATGGTCCAGGAGCAATCCTCCAGCCAGGTAAGGGGGTCGACCTCCGGAGGGGCTTGCGGGGTTAGCCAAGGCTCTCGAAGGGAGACTAGGGGTGAATAGTAAACATTTAATCCATTGGATGGCTAGTGCTTTGACCTGAATACCGGGTCCAAGAACTCCTTTATCCTTTGGTTGTGTGACCAGGCCACCCTATTAATCACGTTCAAAAGATTGCATTTCCTCTCCAAAGCAATGTTGTGGCTTGCCTTAAGTGCTCTGACTGCCTCTTTGTTGAGGGTCCATATCGCAGATTTATACCACAAGGCGGCCAGCATGGCATTATTAATGGCCAGCACTTTGCCGACCAACGACGTATGTTTATCATTCCATTGCCCCATTTTTTCTAGTGCAGGTTTCAAAAGCCAATCATCATTGGTGGCAGGCCTTCCCCTTGCAGTCATCATGATTCCCTAAAACTCTTACCGGGGCTATTTCCGGCGGTCATTTGACCCCTGACCCCTCGGCCGCTTGGGTGGGCACACCCCCCGATCGTGAATCAACCACCCTAGTGTCTTGTTACCTATCCTCGAACATTTCCTTGCTGTTGGCGCCTTCAATTGGAAGGTTTCTTCAAAAAGAAGGGGGCAGGGGGGGTGGGAGCAAAGGGTCACTCGATAATTGGAAAAAAGACAACAAAAGAGACGCAACAAAAAAAGGAAAGACAACAAAAAACGGAAGAAAAGAACGAAGGAATCAAAGAACAATTCAAGCAATTGTACATCTTACAAAAAAAGGGACAGGCCTCTACCGAAGGTCTGTTCCTAACCTGTGAGGTCTATTCCCCACCTCTCCAAGCCTTCTTACCAGACCCTTACTCTGCCGAGAGGGAGAGAGCTATCGATGGAAAACAGGGAACGAAAAAATCAAAAACGGAAGAGAAAAGAACATAAAAAAAAGGGGGGGGGGAAGGGAAATGTGGGTAAGGTGGACGAGCAAAAAAGGCATGCATGAGAATGAACATCGCACCAGTACCCCACCCTTCTATTAGAAGGGTGCTGAAAGCTTATTCCGGAGTCTGCCAAGCATAGATGTCCTTCTCGTCGTTTCAGAGGGCTCTTTTTCTTTTTCTATTGGGGGTCTTCATTTTTTTCAGTCCTCAGCTTTTGGTGGTCATTAAGGGGTGAATCTCCTCCCTCTGTTGATGCACGTGTGTGTGACCGTGCGCCGTTGTTCCTCTCTCTCTCTCTCTCTCTCTCTCAGCACACACGCCATTCACATCCTGCGCCCGTTCTTTTTCTAAGTTTTTCATCTATTTTTCATAGAATGGACAGGATGCTCACGCTACCATAATCATAAATATATCTGACTTCAATTACGGTCAGACCTGGATGCATGACTATAATCACGTCCAGAGCTTGGTACAAAAAGTCCTCATCCGACTATATAATCACATCCAGAGCTCGGTAGAAAAAGTCCTTGTGCGAGTATGCCCTGAACGGTCATAACCTTCAGGCCTCCTTTTGGCTAATCCATGATTTTGCACTTACCAGTCCAGTACACCAAACCCATACACAGACCCCCTCTGGTTAATCAGACCCCCTCTGGTTAACCAGCAGGAACGCACAAGATAGCTGTGCAGTGCTTTAGAAAAGGAAGAAAAGAGAAGCTCGGGGATGAACAACACAGCTCACACCTCACTACTCCACAACTACAAAAACAGCAAGCAGGGAGGGTTGTCTTGGATAGTTAGTACCTATGACGACGAAGGATCCAGGAGAAGACGATGTATCTAATTTAGGAATGTTATGTTCTTCCCCCAAAGAGGACTTCATTTGCACCATAGTACCATACGCATTTTATCTGGGAAATTTTGTCTTCAGCATCTCAAACATGACTTCAAACATGGGTAATCTGTCTTGTGCCCCTCGGAGATTCTTTCTGCATTATCCCTCTGTGATAGCGACGTTTCACCCATGCGCCTACTGCCCGGAATTTTTCGGCATAAGGCCCCTGCCGCAGGGGTGGCAACTTGGCATGACGCCCTTGCTGGACAGACTCAAGCCCCACGCTGGCCCATCCACCTCTTATGAGCCCTTACAAGCAGAGAGCATATTGTCTGCATGCCCTGTATGGCACGCACGACTGCATCCACATTGCACACACACACACAGAGAGAGAGAGAGAGAGAGAGAGAGAGAGAGAGAGAGCCCCTGACATTTCGCATGCCCTGTATGACACGCATGACCGCATCCACATTTTGCACACACAGAGAGAAAGAGAGAGAGAGAGAGAGAGAGCCCACATTCAGCAAGCTTGGCCCAAAAAGGGAAAAAAAACAACAGGACATATCCAACTGAGCAGGGCGCCGACAGGTAATATCCAACTGTGATGGGGACTGACAAACAGTGTTCATGGTTACAGCAATAACAACTGTCAGTCCACAGCACGCAGAAAGACGCAAGTGCGGTCAGAGCATACTCACTCGAACCAAAGAGACGAAATGGGCAACAAAAAGGTAGACCATTGGTGTGAAGCCCATGGCGGCTGACTAACCTGCTGGATATAGCGATGTTGGGAACACCAGGGTGGATATACAAAGTTGACAACGAGGGGGGCAGGAGACGGGGAAATACACAACAGTGCAACTGTTCATTGAACAATGGGAAGGCAGACGGACAACACCAAGAACACACTCACCCCTGGAAAACATGTCTGCTCATAGCAGAGAAAAATAGAGGCAATATATCCAATGAGGGAGGGAAAGGGAAGGTCAATATAGGAAAGTTTGTTGGGTTCGTACAGATTGCAAAGATTTCGCGTTAGACTTTATAGAAACCGAATCCCGCAGTCGGCTGTGGCCAGCCACTAAGGCTACCACGACACCTTGCCGTCTGCACTTCCAGATGCATTCTGACAGATACCTTCGTGGAAAATATCGGCAATGAGGAGGGCATTCCGTGAACCCTAACGTATTTTCAGCAACAGCAACCACTACAACCATACCCGGAGGGCAGCCAATTCACCTCACACCTATGTGCACATATTCATAGGAGAACGGGGACCAAGGAGAAGGGTAGGATCAAAACAATCGCACGATTAATATGCGAAGGGACGAGGAATATACAGGGAATGCAAGACAAGGTGGGAGAGTTGCCTGCATCCTCTGGCATATCCTCTGCTTAAACTCTCCACTCGTTTGTGAACGCTGTCTCGATCCCCAAACTTCGTACGGGCACCACTCGTACAGCCGTTCGAATGGCCGTCTGAATCGCCGTCCAAATGGACGCGTCCGAACAGCCATACGACAGTACGGACAGCCGCCGTACAAGGGCCGGGACCGGGGTGGGGTGGGGGGTGGTTCGCAGGGCAACAACCGTCATAGGACAGCCGCCGTACGAGGGCCGGGACGGGGGCAGGGGTGGGGGGCGGTTAGCGGGGCAGGGCAACAACCGTCAGAGGGGGTCGTGTGGGGGTGCGTGCGCAGGGTCAAAGCGGACTAAGAAAAATATGTTTTTTTTGGGGGGGGGTGAAAAAAAAAGTAGTAAAGCCGAGGGTGGTAGAAGACAAGGCAGATTCTCGTGGACCCCATCTTCTACCACCCTCCGTGATAACGAGAGAGAGAGAGAGAGGACGGCCTAGAGAGCGAATGCAAGGGGGAGAGAGAGAGAGAGAGAGAGAGAGAGAGAGAGAGAGAGAGAGAGAGAGAGAGAGAGAGAGAGAGAGAGAGAGTCTGCATGAGGGGGGGAAAGATATTAGGAAGACGGGGGCATAGAAATGTATTTATTTTTTCCCCAACTACACCACAACCCCCTCAAGCCCGGCCCAGAGCCAGCTTCCGGAACCCCTTTAAAAAGGGCAAATAGGCCCCACCCTAGGCACTTCCCCTCCACGGGTTTTTTTTTCGGTTTCTGTTTTCCAGGGGGGGGAGCCCCCTACACCCCTTCCCCTCAAATCACCACCCTAGCCAATTCCCCTCCACGCTTTTTTTTTTCGGTTTCTGTTTTCCCCGGGGGGAAGCCCCCTACACGCGTCACCCCTTCCCCTCAAATGCCTCCCCCCCCCAGGAAGGCCCCCGAATCTGCTCGTACAATCGCCTAGGGGTCATTTCATGCGGCTCAAATACGTTCTCAGGGTCATTCGAGCCATATGAACGGCTCGTATTCGTACGGGCGTACACACTGTGAACGCATCCACGACAACCTGACGACCATCACCTAGCGCAACAGATAACAGAAGGATGCCAACCCTGTCGTCCAGCGAAGGCTGTGAATCTGACAAACGCGACAGAGTACCTTCATAGAACTGCACGTAGGCCCATAGATCAGGGATCAAGAAAGACGACAGTAAAAATAACACACGGCCTGTAGCACAAGTCCATGACCAACCCTCAGCAAACCGCAGCCTCGACAGATACGATCTACCGCAGTACTCTTTTGAAACAAAGACAGACAGCGATACTGTACCTCCCGAAGAGCCAAACAAGCTCGACAGAGTGCCTGCCTAGGAGCTTAAGTGTACGAACCTACCTTCTTAACCCGATGCACGGTCATTACAACTGTATATAGACTGAAAGATACCCCAAATTCAGCTATAATGACCGTCCGTTGTATTCGGGGAAAGAAGGCAGAGCTGCCGACCGTCGGGGTAAGGGTTCAGACCTTCGAACTCCATCCGTCAAGGTTCTATGTACAGCTGTACGGTCATTATAACTGTATTTAGACTTGACTGAAAAATACCCCAAGTACCGAAAAAAAGTACTCCGAAAAAATACTCGGATAAGAAGGATGCCACAGTTAGCTAGCTCAGTACTCTCCACAGGCATTCTGCACTAAAGACTGCCGCGCTCAGATCGACAACGATTAGCACAAATAAACCATGATTCACACTGCAAGGAAAGATTAAACCCATACCTCAGAGCACTCGTCTCGTCTCATCTCATCGCACCCCTCCACTATGAACTCTATAGCACCGAGAATGATCCGAATCCCACGAGGCATTCAAATCGGCTACTAGGCGTAGTGACCGCTGACTGCAATCATTTTTCCAGCAGGAACTTACCGCCAGCCTGTTCTCGCACTTCTTGCAATTCTGGCCCTGCCTCTTAAGCTTATCGAGGGCTGGACAACCACAAAGACATCTTTTCTCTGACAGCAGACCGTGTACTACGGCCAATAGCTTTTGCCAACGTCTAGTCCAATAAATACTCCGCAATTCATGTCACCATGACTCCCACACCGCAAGGAAGATAAAACCCACACACCGGGCACCGTCACTCTGAGTCTGATAATCACGTTATGTATACAGAGAAGCGCCGCTGCACGGACGTTAATAAGCAACAAAACCGATCTTCATAACATGCGTGATGAAAACGGACAACCACATCCACAATTAACACGTACACGCACCAGACTCGAACCCCAACACGAGCACTATATCCCTGGATATCATAGACAGGTCACGTTTTATGTCCATACGGACCTACATACAACAGGTTTTCCAAAATCCATGAGACCATGGATAAACAGTTAGATAAGAAAACATTCAGATACACACAAACGCAACAAGCACAAACATACAACAAAGAGCGCCATCAGGAGCACGGAAATGTTGAAAAAGGGTATGTGCTTCTGCTGATCAAAGACGAGGCACAAGCCAACAAGAGTTCTTCACAACAAATCATATTCTCAAAATTCCACAACGAAATGCCAACCAAATTCTTCCACTACGACAGACACACCTGACTGAACCGACGGTAAAGAGAGAACACATGCGCTGAACTGGAAAAAACTACCACCGTCCGCCTCAGTTCCATTGTGCCGTGTGCCCCCACGCCGACGAATCTCTCAAACACGAGTTGCTCACACTGCTAAACCAATGCCATAACCTATTTCCATCGCTCGTTGCACACGATAGAGAAAGAAACAATCGCATCAAGCATCACCACATAATCACCAACACATCGCTCATCAGTTTCCAGCAGGCGATCAGGCTGAGAGGTGGTGATTGGTCCACCTCTCTCCCCTTCAGCGGATCGCAAACAGGCACCACGACTCTTTCCGGGCAGAACATAGTCCACAGCGCACGCATTCAGAATGGTGGAGTTGGAAACAGGCATATTTTTTCTCATCCGGACGGAAATGGTAAAGACTAGAAAAACCAGAAAAGACAAGCAGAGAGATTTAACTAACACACAAACTTCAACACGACTCTGCTGCGAAGAGAAGACCCAGATCGGGAATCCCGAGGGAGGACGGACAGAAAGCCATAAAAGACCCATTGCACCAGATGAAGAGGTGGCAAATGACAACACTACTATCACAGGCAATGGCGATCCTCCGAGCGAATGCAAAACTGGAAAGAAATCAACCTAGCAACGAACGAAAACCCTATTGCTCCTACTCCCACCACAAGCTTCTATTGCTGTTCAGCTTCATCATCTTCATCCTCGTCGTCTTCATCGTCCTCGTCCTCGTCGTCGACGGCTTCGCCGGTGTACCATGCCACAGCGTGTGGAATGATTTGCTCCTTTATAGAGATTCCCAGCTCGTAATCATCCTCCAAATCTTGGTGAAGCTCCTCCATCTCCACGTCGTCCAGCTTGTCCTCGTCTTCAGGGATCTCAGGAGGCGTAAAGAACGTGAAAAAGCTATCGCAATCTTCCTCGCCATCACCCTTAGCCTCCGAGGGCTTCTCCTCACCGTTCGTGCGAGCAGATTTTCTCACAGCCGCCGATTTCGCCGCCTGGCAGAGATTMTCCTTCTTCCACTCKATGGYCGTSCCTACCGCCTTGTCCAACACCGGCTCGCCGTCATCGTCGTCCATGTGGTAAGTCTTCGTCAGAATCTCGTTGCTGAAAAACGGATTGGGAGCGAAAACAAATTCCAATTTGAAACTGGCGTCGTTTCCATCTTCTTGCAAACGACTACATCTGACATCTTTCAAGTGCTTCAGAGCTTCCTCGTCCCGGGTAGTGATGCGCCTCCCCAGGTCGTCGTGGTTCTTGAAAACAGTCAGCCAGAAATCTGGCACTCCCTTCACTCCGTCATCAGCACCGGCCTTAGCGACAGCAGCCGCAGCTTCACCAGAAACGATCGCCTCTCTTTTGACATAAAAAGGCTCGTACAACTTCTCATACTTCCTCTCTAGGGCAGCCAACTCTTCGCGAAACTTCTCCTCCACTTCGTCGTGCTCCTCCTGAAGTTTCTGCAACTCTTCCACACGCACCCGTACGGTCTTCGGCAGCCCCTGAAGAAACTCCGCAACCCGAGGGTCGACGTCCATCATCTCGCTATCGCCCTGCGGACTCGTACTCTCGTCGTTCGCTGCAGCGTTGGCCATTGTCCTGTTCGATCTACGTGCAGGCCACCCGCTACTTAACCGCTGCCGTCAGGAGACGACCCCTCGCGGACAGAAACTGGTGAGCGCCGGTGAGAGATCAGCACGACTCCTGCACAGTAGGTAGGTTCGACAGCAGTACCAAAAACCGCACAGATGGGTCAGCAAATACGAAAATATTTAAAAAGACTAGCAACAGCATACAACGGCACCAGCAAAACCTTCCGCCTTCTAATCATATCATACGCATACATCCCATCCTACGTCACTCGTAAACATAAGGCCTTGCCAAGACGGGGCTAGTCATACTACCTGACAGACCAACGCACATCCCATCCTACGTGCAGATCTGCCGTTGCTGCTCCGTCCGCAGCATGAGCGCCCACACAGTCTGGCACTGGCAATCACCCGATCCGTCGTTCTATCACATACCCCGCTGCGCAGCATGAGCGCCCACACAGTCTGGCACTGGCAATCACCCGATCCGTTGTTCTATCACATACCCCGCTGCAACATGTACCGTCGACCAAACCAACTCAACACTGCCTCACAGCTAGACGCAATCAAATGGCTCAGACATTGGACACTAAACATAATCGAAAGAGCATCGGCCATGTTCGAGAGGAAGAAGCAAGAACGCTCAACAAACGACAAGCAATGCTCACGGATCTGACTACTCATAACAGCTCACAAAATGGCCACGCATGTATGGAACAAACCCATACTCAATCACGTTCGCTCACAAAAGCACATGCAGCACATGAAGCATCAGCGAATTACGCACTTGACGAAACCCCGACCGACTAAAAGAGCTCAAAGATCGTAGCGACGACGAATCTACTTCTTCAAGTGTTCACAGATGGGACAAGCATCTGCAGTACCTCGGCGTAATGAACAACGGGAAAGAATTGGGATGTGATGTCCGAGGCGTATCCGGCAGTGCACCATGCGTACACCCACAACATTGACCCATGCACTTCCACCCACCCAATCACGGTAGCAACCTCGCACGTAGACGGAATGACTCCGAACATACGAACAAAAACAAATCCATGCGCGTAGACAACTAGGATTTCTTGCTAAGTTGCTCCACTTTCGCAAATAGAGCTACAAGACAGAGCGAGAGGGGATCAATTACCTCACACCAAATACGGCAAGGGAGGGAGGGAACAGTGACAGCCAAAGAGGAAGGGATAGTAAAGAGAAAGTCCGCGTCCGAGATTGGCACTCAATCTCAACTGGAAAGATCAAAATCAATATCACCAAATCTCTCTCCCGATCTTCTACAACTATTGTAATCCGACAGCCACAAACTGCGATGGCCTTTCTAGCATTTGCCGCTCCAGTGCAAGAACTTCAGGCCTCACAACACCACTGTCGAATCGGAAAAAGTACGACCGCATGTTGCCGCAGGACGTGACCAGATGCATCAGTTACTACAAATGCGATGGATGCATCTCGCCACTTTCCGAGGATGGTGCACTCGTATTTTTTTCGTTTCGACAGTGCTGTGGCGAGGCCCTTCTTGACGAGAATGATTAAGCGCTCGTAAAATTACGTGGAGAGAGAGTACTGAAGAACGGACGCCGTGCAAGTCACCCACAATCGCATTCGGTACAAAGCTGGAAAAGGCAAAAACAAGCGAAGGACACTCGAAAAGGAAAAGACGGAGCGAAAAACAAACAAAAACCAAACAAAAAAGGAAACGACCAAGGTGTGGCACAAGTACTGCAGTGGTTCAGATAGCAAGTAAACATGCCTCCTCCTCCCCTCCCCTCCTCCCCCGCCTCCTCTTTGCCCCAGGTAGGAAGCCGAGCCATCAATCGCCGCGAGACCAGCCTGTAGCTTGATGATCTGCCGTCGTCTCGAGATAGGCATTTTCGATGAGCGCAGGGCCAGAGCCCCCTTCTCAAGCCCCAAAAACCCTGGCTCCTGCTCTATCTGGAAACGCGATTCCACGTAGGTGATCTTAGTTGCTGAAGGGTAAGCTAAGATTAAACCAAAAATAAAAACAATAATAAAAAAAAAGCTCAGATATGCTGTCCCGTCACGATACAAAGCAGCTGAAAACCCGATCGATCAAACCTATGGTAGTTTAACGTTTAACTAAAAAGAATTGCAGTCCCTAATAACGACTGGCGGCTCCTTATCCGGAGTTATTCAGAGGGACAGTTAAGGGGTACAGAAAATAAGCCCAAAATAATCATCAAGCAGAGATCACCCATAACATCTTGCTAATATAATCGTTTCTCGATTGATACAAACCCATATTACCAAAAACAAAAAAAAAACAAAAGACATACGGATGCATCTCTCTCTACCCAGGTAAGCGACGGACAAGTACGGAGCACACAAGCACATAAGAGGTTAGTCCAGCAGCTGCGCATATGCGCGACATACACGACGCCTAACCTACCGTAGTAACGAGGGTACATACCGAAACCAATTACGATGGGCTTGCACAAAAGAGAGAGAGAGAGAGGAGCGACGACAACCGGGAAGGACGAAAATGCGGGAGGATGGGGAAAGAGGCGAGCAGAGGGGGAGGGGGGGCAGAGAAGGAAGTTACGAAAGAGAAGAAAGAAGGGATAAGAGGGGGAGAAGGCAAGCTTGACACAATCCATCAAAGCGGGAGCGAAGAGGAAAGATAGAGAGAGAGAGAGAGTAACGACAATAGCGGGAAAGGAAGAAAAGGCGGGAGGATTGCGGCGGGCAGGTGGCAGAGAGTGAGAGAGAGAGAGAGAAGCGACGACAACAGGAAAGGAAGAAAAGGAGGGAATATGGGTGAAAGAACAAAGCCGAGATTAAAGATACGAGGTGCATATTGAATCAGAGATTAATCAAAATTATAGATAAAAATGAAAATGGAAATAGCGGACATGATGAACAAAATTCTCAAAACGGTGGAGAAAAATGTAATGAGACCCGCCCTCTCTCTCTAAACCGGACCGGAGTCTGTGAGGCTCCCCACTTCCTTTAATGAAAAACGAAAACAAAAAAAATTAAGAGAGAGAGAGAGAGAGAGAAAGAGAGAGATGGACATACACCCCTTCCTAGTCCCGTGAGACCCCCCTACCTCACCCAGTCAGACCCCTCTCCCTCGTCCCAACACACCCCTCTTCGTCGTCGCGTCAGAACCCCGTCCCGTCAGCACACCCTCCCTCGTCGCCCCGCCCCCCTTTGAAATAAAAAACAAAGAAGAGCACGCGAGCGAGAGATATAGAGAGAGAGAGAGAGAGAGAGAGAGAGAGAGAGAGAGAGAGAGAGACTGACCTCGTTGGCGGCTCTCCTTGGCGCGACGCCGATTGCCTCCTGGGCGATGGCAACCTCCTTCGAGCGATGGCGGCCTCTTTCCGCGCGCAGTGGCAGCGGGCGCCGGCGGAGGGGAAGGGGAAGGAGCTTCAGCGACGCGTTCCGCCCTCTGCGTCGACGGCTGCCTCCAAGTTCGAAAACTGAAACTAAAAACTCCCGCCGCCGGGAAAAGCAGAGACTGCCGATGTTCATAGGTAGGGGGAGGGGACCGGGACCTAGGTCCCACTTGCACGAATTAAGAGATACTGACCGTAGATAGAGAAGATCAACGGCCGAAATCTTCTAATTTGCTCAAGTGGGACCTTGCCCCGGAGGGGAGGCCCAGCGACTGGCCCATCGAAGAAGCTCGGTCCTGATGCTACCATCAGGTAGCAGGTATCGCACCTGCTGGTGGGTGCAGCTCCCGCATGTTCCCTCGTTGGAGGCTAAGTTGAGCACGGATGTGGCTGCTACGGGGTTCCCGGGGCCAAGTCCCACTTACGCTGATCTTTGATTCTTGGCCGTCGATCTTCCTAATCTATGGTCGGAAATTGAGATTTCGGCCCCCGTAATACTACATAATACTACAATGACTGTGTACCGCGCACGGCGCGGAGGCGCAGACCGGAGGGCGTGGGGTCTTCAGTAGGAGCGGATTTTGCACGACCCACAGGTTGACCCTCCGCCCCTCCCAAACGCCCCCCACTTTCCCGTTTCCCTCGGAGTCCACACCCCTTCTCGATTTCTCGAACTCCAACTTTGCCTGAAGAAGAAACCCTGGGCGCTGTCCCAAACGACCGCTGCACGACCTCTGCAGGCTACCGCTGGTCTTTCGGTTTTCGCCTCCCCTGCCGCCTAAACGACCGGTCGGTCTAAACCACCAGTACTTGGGCCATACATCGGCCGCGGGCCTTCCCCGGGGTCGGCCAAGGGAAGGTCCGGTTGTTGCTGAATGGCCGGGGCCCGGTTCACTCAGCATGACACCAAAGAACAAAGAAAGAAAAAGAAAAAAAAAATCAAATACACAAAAGTAAAAAAGAAAGAAAACGATTCAAATACACAAAAGTAAAAAAGAAAGAAAAGGAAAGGGAAAAAACAAAG